GCACTGACACACTGCTTGTCAAGCCATGCTGTGGCGGCATCCCATATCAAGTAGAGGAAGATGGGCACGGATGTTAGCCCAGGGCCAGTCTTCCTCAGCAAAAAAAAAAAAAAGGAGGAATGGCATTGGATGTTAGCTGAGGGCTGATCTTCCTCACCAAAAAAGAAAGAAAAAAAACCATCCTGGGGGTCAGCCCTGTGGCCTAGTGGTTAAGTTCGGCACACTCCGCTTTGGTGGCCCAGGTTTGGTTCCCAGGTGCAGACCTATACCACTTGTCAGCAGCCATAGTGTGGCGGCAACCTACATACAAAAAAGAGGAAGATCGGCACAGATGTTAGCTCAGGGCAAATGTTCCCCAAGCAAAAAGAGGAAGATTGGCAACAGGTGTTAGCTCAGGGCAAATCTTCCTCAGCAAAAAACAAAACAAAAAAATCCCCATCCTGACTCTGAGGACTCCAAAGATGTCACCCCAGCCTCCACCTCTCCCTCAGTCTCATCTTGTGCATCTGCTCTCCCACCCTCCCCTCCACCTGGGGCCCGAGCCTTGCCAGGACTCATCACTGTCTTTCCCCATCCCTGGCCCCCTGCATCCAACCCATCAGCAAGTCCAGAGGGCTCTGCCCACAGAGTCATCCCAATCTGCCTGCTTCTCCCACCTCCACTGCTATGCCACCACCATCTCACGGGTACCCTGTGCTTCCCTTTTCCAGGTGCAGTCCGCTCTGCACTTGGCAGGCTCTGTGAGCTGAGGAGACCTCGTCACACTCACATAAACTCCCCAAAGTCTTCCTGTTGCCCTGGGAGTAAAATCCAAGGGCTTCCATAGCCCCCGGGCACAGAGGTGCTAATTTGGCACGACAACTCTCACTTTTGAAAGATGAAATCTATCCTGTAAAACTGTTCACTCAGAAAAATCAAATAATGGCAACGATCTTCTATGAGGTGGGCAGTCAGATGATGGTCCCCGTTTCAGTTGTACCCCCGGGTTTTAATTTATGAGATGGCTGAGTGATGACAGGGAGAGGGTGATGCCATTGAAAGAAGATTCTTATTACATTTCACACCATGCCCCGCAGGGCCACAGGGGAAACCCCAGTGTCAGCCAGGACGAGGAAGCAGGATCAAGGAAGCTCAGGCCAGAGCCTTTATTGGGGTTCCCATGGGAAAGGCAAGGCAGGGCGGGAAACAGTTTAGGATTGGTTTGTTGGGTAATCCCAGTGGGCCTTGGTGCATTGGGGCTGTCCCCAGGTGTCTGGTACCTGGCCCTGGGTGATTTAGGGCCGGGAGGACATCTGCTGGAGGTGTGAGAGAGAAGGTGGCAGTTCAGAGTATGGGCACTGGATCACAGGGGAGATGTAAACAACTGTGGCCGTTAGTTTGGCCCTGTAATTAATGGATGTCACTAGACAAATATTGAATCTAAGAAAACACAGTAAGAACGCTCCCATGTACAGAACAAGCAGCTGAGGGTGACACCCCCATGGTGGACAAAGGGGAGACCATCGGGTTTTGGTCAGATTGTTGCTACAACTCAGTCTCTCCACCAGAGTCTAGAGAAGCCTGGAGCTGCAGGGGTGATAGGTCCGTGGGAGTCAGTGGGGCAGTCCCAGGGCCGGCTACAGGCCCATTACTGGGGCTCAAGCCACTGCCTCCTCCTCCAGGAACCTCTTGGCTGTTCTCCCCTCTGCCCAGGCAGGTGGCCTCAGCTCAGAAGGCAGGAGCCCGGCACACTCCGAAGGCTGTGGGAGCCAGGAGCTATCTGTCCTGCTCTGGCCACGTGGGCTCAACCCTGAGGCGAGAAGCTCAGGGCCCCTGGGGCCCCTCTGTGCCCCCAACACTCCTGTTCTCCACAAAGGGCAGGCAGCGCCTGGGACAGGCCCCCTCGGACACCAGGTCCTGGGCCACCTCACCCCACTGCGTCCCCAGGGTGGGGCTGGCCCCTCGGCTCAGCAAAAGCTCTGTGGTGGGGCCGTGGCCACACTCCACAGCAAGGTGCAAAGGGGTCTTGTGGAGCCAACCAGCAGAGTTGAGCTGTGTGCCCCTGTCCAGGAGGTGGCCGGCAACCTCCACGTGGCCTCCCCGAGCAGCGTGGTGCAGGGGCGTGAGGCCCAAGGAGTCCCGAGCATCCACCTCAGCTCCCCAGGCTGCCAGCAGCTGGACGGCAGGCAGGTGTCCACGGGCAGCAGCCCTGTGCAGTGCAGAGCGGCTGTGCCTGTCCTGGAGGCTTGGGTCTGCCCCGTGGTCAAGCAGCACCTCCATGTCCTGGAAAAGTAGGGAAGGAGAGGGCAAGGCCCAGCCCTGGCCAGGCCGGTGAGGGGTTTGTCTGCCCCAGACCTCATCTGGCCTTGGCCGTTCGACACTGCTTCCCCATTCGGTAAAGGAGCCAGTGCCTAAGGCACCCTGGAGGGGCTCTCCTTGGAGACTTCCACTTGTCCTCCCAATCATCCTCATCAAATCTGAGACTTTGCAGCCCCTGCCGCCCTGCCACGCTGCTTGGGGGCTTGCTGGACTCAAGTGCAGGCCTGGTGCTCAAATATTTGTTGCTGCAGTCACCAGAATCAAATCTGAATGCCAGACCATACGTCCTCCCGGGGCTTCCATGAGACGGTTACAAACGAGAGCTTAGTCAAGGCTGCAGTCTGGTTCCTAGCAGCCGGCCCCTCCTCGCCACCCTCCCGCCCTCCGGTCTTGGACGGAGAGTGCGGCCCCTCCTGCCCCTCCTGCTCGAAGGGTCCATCACGTCCGCGCCCTCCCCGCAGCTGGGTGGGGTGGGGTGGTGCAGCCCCGTCGCTTCGGGGTCCAGGCCCGGACGTACCTGCCGGTGGCCCAGGCCGGCCGCAACGCTGAGTGCTGTGGCCCCTGCGCCGTCCCGGGCGTCCACCCGCGCCCAACGAGCCAGGAGGAGGCGCAGCGCCGCCGTGCGCCCAGCTGCGGCCGCCACGATC